GATTATACCACCAACCTGCCTTTGTATCGTTCCGTTACCACTGGCGTCTTCCACAGTCTCACAGGTGGGAATGCGACGATTTTATTGTGGGAGTGTCCCCTGGCGATTTTTTTAAAATCTTTGTGCGATAGGAAGTCACCATAACGGAAGTCGTCCTCAAAGTTTAAGGGTTTTGTTTTTTTAAGGAAGCTTAACGCGTCGGCATTATTCAACACCAGGAACTAAGTTAAGAACTAGTAAGAGGTACTGTATTAAATGGCATGGTATTAGATACAATAAAAACTAAGAAATTGGGTGATTCAATAGCGTCGGCTTTCATTCTTACCCCCCAAACTATGGAAATATGCAATTTAACGTAGATAGCCTACTGTAGCCTGCGAAAACATCCTTTTCTTCTCGCTTTTTGCCGCTGGGGACATGTTGCGCGAAACGTCCTAAGCGGCGAAGAGCGAGGAGAAACGGATGTTTTCGCAGGCTAAGCCTACTGCAGCAGTCAAACTAGCTCCATAGCCAGCATGCTTGTTATCATATCCGTGTTCCTCGCCTATTTCCCAGCGGATTCTCCATTCCCTCCTTCACCGATCGACAGGACGTAAGTGATGATCCAGATTGATGAAAACATTCATCGTAAATCTTGCTCTCGGGTAAGTAGTTGCTAATGACCCCCCAGAATGGAGTATCGTTTGAATTAAGGGACGCGATTAAAGTTTCAATATATTAAAGTGCTACTACGATCAAATTTGGGAATTTGTTTTTGATTACATATTTCGAAAATGTATGTAAAAGTGACTTACCGTGCCAAGTTTGGAGTCCAAATATGATCTGGAAGTGTGTTTATTTGCACGGCAATTTTCGTAAATGTCTTGCCGCCATTACTCGATTCAAAAAATGACCGGGAGTAGTATTTGAAGGAGTTGGGGCGAGATGTGACGTAGAAAAATCAACGCGACAAAACAAGGTAAACAAACATGGCTAATTTCGCATGCAGGACGAGATATTTTGGAAGCTTTTGGAGGTTCTTTCTTCGCTTTTTTGACTTAAAGCGAAAGTATGCCTGGTAGACGTTGTGTTGTTCAGGACTGTGGAAACGTAAAGAACGATGAATTCTCCTGATTCGAGCAGCGTTAGATTAAAGTGGAAAAGGTTCGTGTCCATTCATCGGAAGGATTTCAACACAGTGGGAAAATTTGCTGTGTGCTCGGAGCATTTTACAAGGGATTGTTATACGCTTGCTTTTCCGATGAAAGGCATGAAAAGGAATTGGAAGAAGGGGACGTTTCCAACCATTTGGAAAAAATCCTCTCAAACACTATCAAAGCGGAGTCGACGATCGGTGAGTGAAATTACAATGTATTTGCGCTGTGCTTATCACTATTATATTTATTTCCCCATTTACCTGTGACATGATTTTTTCTGGCATCGTTGTTCAATATGAATGCTCTGACTATTTGGACTTCCCATATTGTTGCATGTGTTTTCATACTTTTCTGCTTTCTTCTCATAGTTATAGTAAAACGGGAGTTTGCGCTGAGTGGACGTGAAGTCAATTCCCCAATTCCCAGACCTTTCCACTCAAGCGTAAAATTTAGAAAAAGTGAAGCTACATAGAAATCCGGCTCTCTATTTTTTGAGAGATTATCTTGCTGTTACTTTGAGATTTGACAGTACTCCAAACTTCCCTCCAAGAAATCTTACAGCAAATTAGGAGTTACACGCGAGTCTTTTAAAACGACCAAAAATGGACTTAGTCTGATTTCTACATTCTATAAGTGCAGTTACTGTTTGCGGTTTTTTTTTCGTTTGTATTTTAATTCTATTTTCACTGTCTGCAAATGATGCATACATTTTAAGGCAAAGATGCAGTTAAACCTTGCTTCCATTTCTACTTTTGAAAACATCGACATAAAGCTCAAATTTAAACTTGTTTTGAAGGGGAGATATAAAAAATGGTCGTACCTATTTTCATTTTTAGCCACTAAATGAAATTCTGGCTGGTCAAACTACTAATGAGGATACAGAGGAAGAAGACAATCCTGAAGAAGAGGTGATCTCTCTGAAAGGAAGTTCTGCACCTGAGGAGAGTGCTGACACTATGGGGGCTCCCAATCTCAACCCTGAGGAGTCTCTAGAAGTCGAGGGTGTTCTGAACACAAGTCAGGGTTCTTTGCTTGAGGTAAATCCTGAAAAGGAGGACTGCATCCCTGAGACTGAGACGGGTGAGATAAGTGTTGATGCTGAGATGGCTTCAGAGGTCCTAGGTACTCCTGGTGATAAGACAACTCTCGAGAGCCAAGGGATTTCTGGCACTGATGATGTTACTGAGACCATGCAGATCCTGGAGGCTCAGGGAATCGAAAAAGTGCAGGATATGGATAAGTTATGCGGATTGATGAATCATTAGCGATTCCTGAACTTGAACAGGTTTCTATGGTAGGCGCATAACTCTAATTAATGTTTATTTGCATCTTTGTATTATCATAACAATGGAAAACTACATGTGCAGTTATTTTACAACAATACTAAAACACAAAAATTCTAAAGTCTTGTTATTACAGCCTCTATTAATGTTGAAAGTTTGTTTTTTGTAGGATACTCCAACTGGACATGCTGGGAACTACACAACATGCAAAACCCTGAGGAGTGAGGTGACTCAGTTAAGGGGCAAAGTCACAAGACTGAAGAGTAAGTTAATCTCCAATCAAGATCAGTGGGTTGAAACCTTTAAGAGCATACAAGAGCTGAAGCAGTTGCCTATGGTGAATGCTGGTGAGTCAACAATAATTATTGATGTTGATGAGTCATATAGGCATAACTGCCTATCTTTATATTTTTGTTACATTTTATCAATGTTTGATTATTTAATAATAATTAAAATTTTAATGGTAATAGAATTTTTTTAATTCCATTTGTTTAAGCTATTCAAACTGATCCATGGCCAGTAACAAATGAGACAGAGTTAGGGCTATAGGATGAATCAGAAGATGAGCAGGAAATGCAGGACGACGCGTATGAGGAGTTTGAGTGTGATGAAGACCCTACAAGGAGTCCTGAAGGAATCGAAGATGAACATAAAAAACTAAAGGAAGATGATGACTCGGTGAAGACTCATCAGAACCCAAGGTACAAAGATGCAAAATTTATTGCATTTTAACATCTTAGCTCTAAGTATCCTCTGGGAAGTGATTTAGGCCTAAAACTAACTTCCATTATGAGAGGATCTATTTAGAAACAAGAGTACATGAAATTTGTTTTTTAATTTACTTAGATAAGAATTGCAAAAAAAAAAAAAAGAAGAGGCATAGCCAGCCCACAGACTGGAAGTCCCAGGCCTAAAAATGTTTGGTTTGTCCACTCAACCACTTGTAATAAATTATGCATCGTTGGGGTGGGCTAGATAGCTTAAGGGCTCAAAGTTGTCATGTGTGCAATCAACAGAATTATTATAAAAAAGCATTTTTCAGGATGTATGTGAGAGTAAAATCCCAACCCACGATTAGCCAGGTTTACAACAAGTTGAAAAACTGGCAACACCCTGAGAAAAACAATAAAAATGATAATCATTTTTTTTATTGTTATTTTATTATTTCAGATGCTATGATTAAATGAGTATTTCCTTTCAATCATTTTTTAGAGGTTGGATCTACAAGGAAAAAACATTCGAGAGGAACCGAAGGGAATTGTTTTCCTTTCCAAACTTCTTCTTTTGTTTCAGTTCTGCCACTTGTGTTTCTTTTCAAAACCCAAACTTTCTGTATCACAGACAGGTACCTTGTTTACCGTAGAAAGTTTCTGCAGAAACTGTAGCCAGACAAAAGTCTGGAAGAGTCAACCAGACCTGCTAGGAAAGTTTCCAGCAGGTAACCTGCTATTAAGTTTTGCAGTGCTCTGTGAGCCGAGTGAAAAGAAAGAAACGATACATTAAAACTGTAATTAAATTCAGGCTGAATTCAATTTAATTTTTATTACTTGTGTACATGAAAATTGGAGCAACATCAGAATTCCCAGCCACTAAACTTGAGTTTAACTGAACGCTAGAAGAGCAGGGCTTCACACAGTGGGCAAGTTTGTCATTCAACAAAAAGTGAGTAAGTGGCTGAGAATTCTGAAGTTTGGCCCATAAAATTAAGTGTTTACGGACAAGTATTCACGCAACTACTGTAGGTCCTTCTTGGCCCCAATGGCATTCATGACACTCTTCAAGAACAAACAGTGCATTTATTATTCATTTTCTTCATCTTCAAATCCACGATAATGGCCATTTTGACTCGGAAATTGTTTCCTGATTTTATTGTAGGCACAACAGGGCAAGGGGTATCGCCTGGAACTACCAATATAACTCCACAGCAGTCTTGTAAATTGGCGATAGGCCACAGACCTCGGGAATCTAGTTACAGAAATGAGATCACTGTTAATTCCGTGGGATGCCTGTGGCACTCCCACAGTAAAAATCCGGTTCGGTTGTACCCAAAATTGCAAAGCCAGCCAATAGGATTGCCTAAAATACGTGGCGGTTTAAGCAGACGCTTTCAAACCCTGGATGGAGGGTTATGCATAAGGTCCGGTCTCCAATGGCTTCTTCCATGACCTCTTCGCAGCGATCGATCTCTTTCCACAAATGCACTCCTGCGCTTTTGTAACAAAGCTGACAGAGCAGTTCGAGCACGAACACCTGCAAAATGATGTGGAAAATTCGTCAAACACAAGAAAAATACGTCTGTATAAAATTATTAATTGTCTGACCTCTTCAATAAAACTATCGTATAAAATCAGGACTACAGTTAATCACATAGCAACGAAATTGTAAACTTAAACAAAAGACACAGTCGCGTTCCTCACGCGCACGATTTAATGACGGGTATGTTGAAATTGGAAAATAAAAATATAAATCTACATTCCATGATAATACCATACCATTCATTCGCTGGCACCTCTCCCAAATATCTTCGCTGGAACTGTTGTTCCTCTTCTTCTTCGCGATGAACTCTTTCGTTGTAGCAGGTTGTAGTCCGCGGCTTCTTCCTCGGTAGCAAGGGGTTCGCAACTGTCGTCGTACGGCGCAAATTCAGACAATTCCCCCATCACTTCGTCAACTGTAAAACTTTCTAGATCACTTTCAGATGTGCAGGAAGAGGAATCCGACGGAGATGACATCTTAAACGTCTTGTTAAAAGGCTCTAAACTCACAAACTTTTCCCAAATGCGAATCTTTTGGTTGATGTTTCTACGTCACAGTGCATAAATCACGTGGTCAAACGCACGACCGCTTTGCGGAGATCTCGCGGGCTATTGCTTTGCGAACTTTGTAATGGCGGACGGTATTTACGCACTTTTCAGTGGGAAATTTCCAGCCCCCGTACGCAAGTATCGTTCCAATTTTTCGCTATTTGTATAATTTTGAACATATACAAAAGATTTATGTTAAAAAAACTCGGAAACAAAAACAAAAATTTTCGTCGTAGTAGCACTTTAAGCTGGCATGCCAAACTGTCTACCTTTCTGAAAAATTGAAAATATATGTATCTAGGGTGACCAGTGGAACGAACTCCCTAGAGCCACGCGCAAATTAGTTTTGGCTCGTTCCTCGCGACTTCACCGCTCCCATAACCAGAGGGACGGGGCTACCCAATTATGTTTTATATGGGGAGGCTCCGTCACGAGTTTCAACCCCTTGGCCTTTGATAGACCATTTTTGGATAGAAAAGGTACCCCTTCCGTATACTTTCTATTGACAAATGGTGCCCCTTTTCACATACCTAGTTTAGAGCACGGCATCCCTTTTAACTGCTGTGAATGCACTGTACGTCTTTTAACTCACTCAGTTACTCACCTACTCATGCCCATGAATGCCGTCAGGCATGTTGGGCAGCAACAAAGGATGGACACTCCTGTCTGTTCTGGGCCAGCTTCTGAACGGTTCCCAAGGTTTGCTGTAGGGTCTTGAGCTCCCATTCCAAAGTCCAACGCCAGGTGTTCTTGAATAAAATGAATGAATAAAATATATGGATTTAGCCAGGGCTAAAAGCGAGTCTCTGGTTACAAACAAAAAAATAAAATCGTGTAATGTCAAACGGCAACGGCAATGAGAACGGCAACAAAATAAATAGGTCTTGGGTGCGTTTCTTTACTAAAATCCAAGATCCGATCAAAAATCCGGATCGTTAGGATTTTTCGTGAAGGGAAGAAACGTTCTATCCAAAAAAGTATTATTATTCATTCATTTTCAAAGAAAGGACCCACAATATCGACGGTATCCCGGCGAAAGAATAACACGGCTGCTGACTCGTTGATTGTATTCTGGACGATTAGCTCAAGGATACTACTTTTGAAGGGCTAAATGAAGCACCGAGTCTTGCCATAAGATATGTACTGGAAAAGTAGTCTTGCAAGACTCGCGGGCGAAGTTGAGCAGCAATTTTTTTTCTTGTGAACTAGAACAATGCAGGGCCTGTTTGTATTGCGATTTTACCTCCCCGATAAAACGGATAAAATCGATCGTTTAATAAATGCCTCGGGTTCCAAAATGGCCTTTAAGATGACCGGTGTTGTCAAACGGCTGATGTATGTGTTAAAATTGTTTCGTGTTACCGCTGGCAGTATTCACTCTTTTCGGATCTGCAGTAAAGAAACGCTTCGTATCCGGTTTTGGATATGATCCAAAGAATCCACCACCGTTGTGGATTATTTGGATCAATTATCCGTTTTTGGATTCTAGTAAAGAAACGAAATATCCGTTTTCGGATTAAGAACCCGGATCTGGATTTTAGTAAAGAAACACACCCCTAATTAGCAAATAAACAAATTTGCACGTGCGGCACACTTTTTTTGTACTTTTTTGCCTTTGTTTTGCACGACTACAATGCCGTTTTGCACTACTAAAACGTGAAACTTCCAAGTTACACATTATTTTTTATGGAGGAATTGTCGTATGTGCTCACCAAAAATTTTCTTGCTTGTGTACCTGTTCGGTTTTTAACTTTTTCACTGCTGCTTATTTTCACCTTGTTGGCCGCTAGCATTTCTCATTTTCTCACTGTCGCTATGAAATTTTAATGTTTTTCTTCCACGAAATTCGTTGACTTTGTTTTTAATCACTCTCTCTAGCTCTTTCTCTGTTATCCACGTGAGTGTAGACATCAAATATAACGTCGATTGGAAAAAGACTCGACGATGTTGTTCTTTTTTCTCTCTAAAAGTCCAGGTGGCAATGCAATTTCCCGCCAAAACATCTCGAGTTCCCAGTGGTGTTATACCTGTTAATAGGCCATTTGCACGATGACATCATTTTACTACTACCACAAGAATCCTTCAGGGTTTTGCTTTCTTGTGCTAATTAGGGCTTTTGTTATTCAAACCTCGGCTGGGATTACAAAATTTACATATGAAAGGAAAAACAAAAAGGATTCTGGTCGTAGTAGTAAAATGACGCCATCGTGCAAATGGCCTATTGAGTTATTTTACATTAGTATGCCTGTGGTGCGCACGGACGGAGGGAGGGACGGGCGTACGGTCACGTGATCACCAAAATTTCTCAGATGAGTGATTAACAAATTTTTCTTGGTATAGGACGCTCGCGTGTGCTTGCGGTTCGCCCGAGCGTGGAGCTTCGCTGTCACTAAAGCAGGAAGTGGTTCTTGACTTTAGTCCGTTTAGTCCTTTATACACCGAACAGCAGATTTCCTTACCCTTCCATGTACCTCTACTGGTGAAATCCCTACCCATTTATATACCTGAAGCTGAAAAAAGGTGACCCCTTCGGTGGAGCTTCCGCGTACTCGCCATTATAGGGAGTACCCCCCCCACGATCCCCTCTCACGCGTGCTCTCGACATACATGATACAGTGACTCAAAAGAGAAATAAGAGACTGCTTTCAGTCTACCAACTCCCATAAGCGACTGAACCGAAACACCAAATTTTTCCACTGGAATTCCTATCGTTAAAACCTTTTGTAAACGACCACTATTTGGGGTGACGGTTACATAATTTCCCATTGCTTTTAATCTCTAGACACACTGAATGATCTGTAAGTTCGCTGTACGTAATACGCTACTCAGAGTGTAAGAAGAACCCCTTACAATTACCCATGCATATACCAGTTTTGATAGAAAAGGAAGGCCTTTTGTATACCTTCCATTGAAAATGGAGCACCTTTCACGTAATTGCGCTGAATTCCTTTTTAAACCCCTTAATTTGAGGAAGTTAATGTAACGATACAAGAGGGAAAATCCATAAGATGCATCTATTCAAGATTTTTTCCAATGAAAGGCCCTTTTGAATACTCATAATAATTTCCACACTTTCATGTACCTGAAACCTGTAAAAGGTACCGGGCCTTTTCGGGCAGAGCCTCCCCATCTGATGTATTCATTAATTGCGCACATTCTCAGTCTACAAAAATAAACTCTATTCTTTGGGATGGAAGCCTCAGTGTAGTCTCATGAGGAGTTGTTTCCATCTCTGGTTAGCAATTTCAAGTGTTTTCACTGATTAATCGATTTGTAAAACTTTCATTTTGTTAGAAACAACTCGATCCACAATTAATATAAGCTATTTCCTTTGCAGCAGCCTTTTATAAGAACAGAGGGGGAAAACTGCGTTTCATCTCGCTCTGCGCTGGGATGGGCTCCTGCTCCATGCTACGGAAACCGAGAAAGCTCCGGCCTGATTTTTTTAGTTATCACAATCGTGTTGCTCGTGTTGATAGTTCCACACTGATGTGATACATGCCTGTGTAATATATAGATTTAGCCAAGACCGTTCGTATGTGTGAACAGAAGCCGGCCAAGTTCGATATGGTTTTCGTGCCTGTGCAAAAGCTATCCGATGTAGTGTGAACAGCCCTTTCAAATTCAACTCCAGAAAAATTCACCAAGATTTGACAAATTGAACGACATGGAATAACAGCTTGTATCGTTATAATAAAAGAAAAAAATCATCTTTTTCTCCAGTTTTGTCATGGATTTACTGGACCGACCCTGCCAGCAGAGGTTTCTTTTGCAGCATGGCTTTTAACATATAATGTGCGGAGTCTTTCACGCTGCTGTCATTTGCTCATGATCAGTTGGCTTGTTTATCCTCCCTCTCGAGGAAGTGAATATAAATACTAAGCCAATTACGCGAATGTCAGGTACGCGAAGCTCTTCGTACCCTGGGTACCAGCGGTTTTTCCCGCGTGCGGCGGGAATTTTCGGTGTTGGCCGAAGGCCGACACATCTTCGGCCGTAGGCGGAAGCCACGAGCGGCGAAGCAGCGAGGAAAACTTTCCGCGCGGGCCACCCGGAAACCGCGCTAGAAAAGTCTCTGGCACCCATGGTAAGTTCTTCGTAAATGCTATTAAACTGAACCATACCAGAAAAAATTTCCTCTGTTACCAGGGTGAATTACGATCCTCCTCAGTGCCAACAATGCTAATCCTCTGATGATGATGTTAACGGGCAAACCATTTGACTCTTGAGAGGAGTATTGGTGGTTTCTGAAAAAAAAAAACATCCTGCAGACTGATTACTAGGGAGACAAATCTTGCAGGGAAAAACCTGGGGAAAAAATTCCTGCTCTCCAAAAAATATCTGTCATGCTTGAAAAAAATCTTACACCATTGTAACTCAGGAAAAAAAAATTTCTATCTCAAGAGGTTTGGGAAAAATTATTACGGTCACTTTTTAATCCGACGCAATGATGGAAAAAAAATTGAATTTCCGCATTTACAAACATCCTCTTCAATCTTCATTCTATTATCATTTTTCTTGGTAAAGCAGAAAGTGGAATTTATATAAAAGCGCTGCCTGCTAACTTAGTAAAATTTGGTCAGGATGCAAAATTTGCTTGTGTGGCAGGCACATGAATGAATGGGAGGGAGCGGGAAAAAAGGAAGAAAGGGAAAATGCATAAAGATAGGACCCTTGGACCTTTGGGCACTTGAAGGTGATGAACTGTAATTTGTTACTACATTTGGCACTGATATCACCTAAGTAGGCACAATATTACACGTCACTTCCGTAAATTCGGGAATTGTTGCCACGGTCTTTTCAAGTTGTTCATCATTCAGTTCCAAGACGATAATATATACTTTTTCATGAGAAAATCATCTTTACACGTCTTAGCAGAAAATCAACCTGCAATCGCCCAGTTAAGTTGTTGAGGACAGTGTTGGGTAAAGTTTTCTTAGAACAAAACGTGTGTCTAATTTTGCCTGACTAAGTATCAACAGGTTGTCTAGGAAAGTAGCGGTCACGGTCACGCAGAACCACGTGGCTAGCGTTACTTCCGGTGAACACCCCCATTGGTCAAACAGTGGTTAAATATTTTATCAAAAACAATAGGTATTTATATAACGCATTGTCTCGCACAATACGCAAGTCAAGTTTGGTTGGTTTAGAGCTACGTCATTGTCGATATATTACGCTGTGCATTCTGTTCACAATTCCCTCGGGAGGCTAATAACTACACGTTCTGTCCTTGGGGAGTTGAACGGCTCACAAACTCTTCACGTCAACAAAGAAACCTGCGACTTGTGACCGCGACCCGTTTCAAAGCCCAAAAAACCGGCAAACCAGCGGAAAGTGAGTCAGATCAACTGCACTCGAGCAGTAAAACAGAAGTTACGACGTATTGAGACAGAAATTTCAAGACCATCAGACAACGACCGTAGAAGTATTTCTAAAGTTTTAAACTTGATTTTAAAACATTTATGCAGGAAAATAGCGTTACTTCACCGCTGAAGGAAGAAACGGTAACCATTGGTTGGTTGACCACCATGGAAAGTAATCAAATGCCCAGGTTGGCTATATTTTTTTGGTCGCGAGAACTGATTTCCTCCTCAACAGCGCGCCGCTCATTTACTCGGCCACGTGATAATCTATGTTCTCGTGCACTTTTATCCCTAACGTTGTCAAAAGGTTTTCAGTCGTTCGTTAATTGTTATGGTACTTTTTGCGCACTTTTTTCCTTCCAGTGGTTGCGGTTTGGCCAGGGCACACTTTGAAAAACAGCCTCCCTCTAACCTTCGCAAGAGCAACTTCTTCCACTTCGTACTGGCATTTTATGATCGCACGGGGCAAGCGGTGGAAATCGAACGTGCTGCGTTCGTTGGTTTTATCGAACATCTTCCTGTAAGTTTTTCTAAACATTTTGACTTTTCCGCCGATAAGCAACTGTTGTCACAGCTCGAGGTTCTTGATACGGTTTTTTTCTTACCCATTTCCTTGTAACAGGATCAAAAGAATGTCCGAAATGGAGCTTCGTACAGACTTCAACTTCTCTACAGCAACGGTGAGTTGTGTTGTTCATTTCCCGGCCATGTGAGTGGAGTGATGGTTCGTCGAAGTGTGTACGAACCAGACTGAGCTCGTTATCAAATTAAGAAGGACTCCGGTGGGAATATGAAATTCACTTGTGGAAAATAAGCGTCGACAGGGGAAAAGTGATCCATGGTCTTCAGAGACATATTTTGTTCCGGTGTATTAACCAGACATTGGTCGTCGGGTTTTAATACTTTGGTTGTCTTCTAACGGAATGCGTCAGTCTGCGCCCTCGAGTATTTACTCAAGTTGCCAAGGGACTTGCTTTTTCAAACAAAACTGTACAAGTTGTTTGCCGTGCCCAAAGCATTGGTTTCAGTTGGTGACAAATGAATAAGCGAAAAATAAACATTCAAAGTGGGAGAAATGTGAGAAGCTAAAACTGCAAATATAAGGGCGCGCTCGCGCTCGCAATCGTTTGTTTAATTGCCCCGTCAAAGATGCGTAGCGTGGTAAACTAATAAACTTATACACATCCCTTTAAAACTCTCACCAGGTATTAGAAGTGAACAAGACATCTTTGTTCGCCTTATTAACTCGGCAACGAAGCAGGTACGTATGGGGTAATTAAATGTAAAATCTGACTTGTCGAAGATGAGTTTGTACCAGAAAAATAGATGTTATCATATTTTAGTTCACTACGTTTTAAATCTGGTAATTAACATTCTTTTCCAGTTCACATAAATGACCCATTATATTAACCAGTTTGGACGGAAAGTTCCGTTCGACCTAAAATTTGTTTGTTGGTCTTGTCTTGCAGGACATAGTAGTGGTGTAAAATGTGACCCAGTTCTTACTGATGTCCTTTTGACCAGGCAATTATTCCTGTCATCCGTGAGCCGAGCTTTCATAATTTTACCAAAAAACACAATGTTGTTTTTTGATCTTAAAAGGCTTTTTAATGAGAGGGCTTCTTTGTATGTGCCTCCCCAAAAATTATTTGGAGAAGTTAAGAATCTTCTAGGAAACCTCCTGCTTGTCTTTTTAACAGTGAACAAAAACCGTGTATCTCTTTTGCGTTATATTAAAAGTTGATTAACTTTGTTTACTTCAGCCTATTGTATATGAAGGCCAAGACAAAAATCCAGAAATGTGCCGTGTCCTTATGACACATGAAGTTATGTGCAGGTAATTATTAATTTCTCATCCAGTTTTCAGTGTCTCAAGTTTGTTTGGGGGCTGTTGGGCCTTTTTAAAGCTCTGGA